TTTTAATATTAACGTGTGGACCATCAGGAGATTGCCTCTCCCGTGCTACCAAATTATCATTTTTTAGGGGCACAATGTGATCATTGCTGAACCATCAGGTGACATTCCTATTGGTTGGGGGAGAGCCCTTTACTGCCCTGCTCATTGCCTATGTAACTAACTGTAACAACTTTGCTTTTTCATGTATGACTGTTGCATCAGGCAGATTTTGAAGAAGGATGAATGTTTCTACAAATTCAAAAACAGGTGACAAAAGTGACATCAGTGAAAATGGTGCAGTAGACACTTTCTGTAGTCCATCTCTCCAGAAAAGCAACTCAAAACAATTAATAATGTATAATTAGAAGATCATTTTCTCAGCACGATATATGGGGCATTTATTAAAAACCTACAGCTAATAATATAGTCAAGAGGGAAAGACTGAAAGCTTTGCTTCTAAAATCATGAAGAGAAGAACATCCACTTTTGCCACTTCTATTGAACATTATACTTAAAATTCTAGCCCGGGGCATCAGGCAATGAAGCTATATAAAAGACAACCCAATTGAAAAGAAAAAATTGAAATTATTTCTCTTCACGAATGCGATGATCTTATAAAAAATGCTTAAAAATCCAGAAAAAAACAACATTAGAGCTAGTGAACAGTATCTCACAAGCACAGCAGGATAGAACATTAACTCGGAAAAATCAGTTGTAGTTTTATTTGTGTACACTAGCAATGAATAATCTGAAAATTAAGAAAGCAATTCCCTTTACAATAGCATCAAAATGAATCATATTTTTAGGACAATAGTTAATAGATGAAAGTCTTATACATTGAAAATCACAAAATATTGTAGAAGAAGTTAAAGATAACCCTGATTTTAAAAAAGGACATCCCGTGGTAATGGGTTGGAAGACAAAATATTTTTAACATACCAATACTACCCATTGAGATCTATAAATTTAATGCAATCCTTCTTATTATCCCAATGAGCATTGGTTGTTTTTGTAAAAAAGGAACACAAATTCTAAAGATCCTGTTAAATTGCAAGAGATCTGATAACCAATGTAAAGTTTGAGTAAGAAAAATCAAGGCGGAAGAGTCACACTTCTAGATTTCAAAACTTACTAGAAAAGCTAGAATAATCAAAGCAGTGTGATAATTAAGTAAGAATACACACAGTGATTAATGGAAGAGATGGAGAGTCTGGAAATAAACCCAGACATTGTCGTCAATTCATTTTTGACAAAGTTATTAAGGTCATTTCATGAGTAGTTAATAGAGTCTTTAACAAATAGTACTTAGACAACTGGTTATGCACATGCAAAAGGATGAATTTAGGCTGGGCACAGTGGCTCACGCCTGTAATTCCAGCACTTTGGGAGGCCAAGGCAGGCGGATCATTAGGTCAGGAGATCCAGACCATCCTGGCTAACACGGTGAAACCCCGTCTCTACTAAACAATTAAAAAAAAATAGCCGGGCGTGGTGGCGGGCACCTGTAGTCCCAGCTACTTGGGAGGCTGAGGGAGGAGAATAACGTGAATCCAGGAGGCGGAGCTTGCAGTCAGCTGAGATTGCACCACTGCACTACAGCCTGGGTGACAGAGCAAGACTCCGTCTCAAAAAAAAAAAAAAAAAAAATGCAAAAATTATCGGGTGTAGTGGCATGTGCCTGTAATCCCAGCTACTGGGGAGGCTGAGGCAGGAGAATCGCTTGAACCCAGGAGGCAGAAGTTGCAGTGAGCCGAGATTGCCCCACTGCATTCGAGCCTGGGCAACAGAACAAGACTCCATTTAAAAAAAAAAAAAAAGAGAGAGAGAGAGAGAGATATCAAAAAGATAACCAATGGAAGAAATTTGAAAACACCTTAAGTGAAAGAGACAAGACTAAAAAGACCACTTACTGAGATGATCAGTAGTGAGGGAAAGTAGATGAATGTTTGTCAGGGGCTGGGCAGAGAGTGGAATGGGGAATGACTGCTTAATGGGTCCAGGGTTTTCTTTTGTGGTAATGAAAATGTTTTGCCAATAGATAGAGATAGTGCTTGCACTGCATTGTGAATGTACTAAATGCCACTGAATTTCACACATTTTAATGGTTAATTTTATGTTATGTGAATTTTACCAACTCAGTTTTAAAAAGTGCCAATACTTTTAAAGCTGTCATTATTTCCATGAATAATTAATTCTATTTGAAAAGTACTCAAGTTATCAGTGAAGAAAACTTGTTTTAACTATTATACTACAAGGTGGCCTGATACGGTGCCTCATGCCTCTAATCCTAGCACTTTGGGAGGCTGAGATGGGAGCGTCACTCTAGTCCAGGAGTTCGAGATCAACCTGATCAACATAGCTAAGCCCCGTATCTAAAATTTAAAAAAATAAATAAATAAAAAACAGTTATACTACAGGGGAATTTGAACATTAATTTATAAAAGTTGGTATTATGTGTGCATAGGCAAGAGTGATTATATCTTCTATGTTTGACCTACCGTGTGGTTTCTACTTTATAATTTCTTAAACTTCTCCTAGAGTAAAATATGAAAAAATTACAAGCACTCAAAAGTATATATTGATGTAGATATATTCAATGAGTATAAGGTGATACTGAAGATTTTGTACAAAATTTCAAGCATTAGGCATCCAATTATATTTAAACTGTGTCGAGTGTGTGTGTATTTATGTCTGTCTGTAGGTATATTACAAAATTTTAAATGCTGTGTATGTATGACTTTTTAGACAGTGTCTCACTCTGTTGCCCAGGCTGGAGTGCAGTGGTATGATTATGGCTCACTGCAGCATCAACCTCCCTGGGCTCAGGTGGTCCTCCCACCTCTGCTTCCTATGTAGCTGGGACTTCCATTGCATACAACCATGCTCACCTATTTTTTGTATTTTTTGTATAGACAAGGTCTCACTATATTGCCAGGGCTGACCTTGAACTCCTGGGCTCAAGCTATCCACCTGCCTTGGCCTCCCAAAGTGCTGGGATTACAGTTGTGAGCCACTATGCCTGGCCAATGCCATACATTTTTAATCATGGTAGATGTTATAATGAGTATATGTTTGAAAATGGCATTTTTGGCCAACAAATTCATATCTTCAATTCATCGTTATATAAACAGAGACACTAATGAAGCATTCTAGCTGCATGTGAGTGGTGTGAATGCATCCATCTTACAGCTTTCTTTTTGTTTTTGTTTGTTTGTTTGTTTGTTTTTTGTTTTTGTGAGACGGAGTCTCACTCTGTAGCCCAGGCTGGAGTGCAGTGGCATGATCTTGGCTCACTGCATTTGTTTGTTTGTTTGTTTTTTGTTTTTGTGAGACGGAGTCTCACTCTGTAGCCCAGGCTGGAGTGCAGTGGCATGATCTTGGCTCACTGCAACCTCTGCCTTCCGGGTCCCGGTTCAAACAATTCCCCAAGTTCAAACAAATTCCCGGTTCAAACAAATCCCAAGTAGCTGGGATTACAGGCATGCGACACCATTCCCAGTTAATTTTTGTATTTTCAGTGGAGATGGGGTTTTACCATGTTGGCCAGGCTGGTCTTGAACTCCTGACCTCGTGATCCACTCGCCTCGGCCTCCTAAAGTGCTGGGATTACAGGCATGAGCCACTGTGCCTGGTCATACAGTTTTCTTAGGTTACACATCTAGGTGACTGAATGTGTGAGATGCCTATTTCAACTACAATTTATTGAATTTTGTTATCTTTCTTCGAAGGTTTTAAAGATAAAGTTTTAAGGTAAGAATCAGGAATAAGAATTCTAGAAGAATTGAAAATTCTAATTTTCAGAGGTATAAGTATGTATTATACATCTGTTTATATTGTAGATAAATATGTATTTATATGTTTATGTATGTTTAAATATATATATTTTTTAGCCAGGCACGGTGACTCACTCCTGTAATCCCTGCACTTTGGGAGGCCGAGGCGGGCAGATTACCTGAGGTCCAGAGTTCGAGATCAGCTTGGCTAACATGGCAAAACCCCGTCTCTACTAAAAATACAAAATTAACTGGGCGTGGTGGCGCACACCTGTAGTCTCAGCTACTCTGGAGGCTGAGGCAGGAGAATCCCCTGAGCCCGGGAAGTGGAAGTTGCAGTGAACCAAGATGGCATCACTGCACTCCAGCCTGGGAGACAGAGTGAGAATCCATCTCAAAAAGAAAATTAATATATTTATATATATTTATATATGTATATGTATTTTTTAGATTTAAAAGTGAAAATTGAGAACTTATGTTTTCATGAATAGTCCAAATAAGAAGTTCTTTGCAAATATTTTATTGTCTAAAATTCAGATATTGCAATTTTTTATGAGAATATCAAAAACTCCTCAGCAATCAGATGTGAAACTTTTAATTCTTCAACCTTATGTATAGCTAAATTCAATTAAAATGTAAATTTATTGTGTGTTTGACTGTATACATAGAACTTTTTATCTGTATATTGAAAAAATGGGAGTAAATATGGAAATGGTTATCAGTGTTTAATATATAGTTTTATGACATTGCTTTTCTCTTCATCAGCATGTGGTTACTTTTTTACTTTGCAAGTTCCATGTCTTTGTTACTAATGAGAAAATATAGGACTGATTCCTAATGAAAAAGAGTAAGATATATACACAACGAAGTTATAGGACACAGTCTTAAGTCATAGCCATTTAATGACACTGGAAAATATTTCTGTTCCAATGTTAAATAATGAAACCATGAGACAAAATTCTGTGATCCATCTGATTAGAATTTATAGTCATTCCCGTATTTTTGTCCATTCAACTAGGGCTGTGTGTGTTTTGTCAGGCTGGAGAGCTACCCGAACCCTTATGTTAGAGCCCTACTAAATATTGCCCTCCCTCTCAACATATAAGGCCTAATGACTAGGTCAGATCGTGCGGTAAAACTCCTAGGGAACCTGGGTAGGGAGTCAGGACAAGAACCACATGGCCTGGTGCCTAGATTTGCTCTTCTGAAAGACCTTAGGGGTAAGACTTTTTTTTCTTCTCTCCTTAGGCATGGAAGCCTAAGGTCTGTCTCCAAAACTGTAAGACTATTTGACATCATAATAAAACACTGCAGATATGATGCTGAGTAAGAGTGGAAATGGGAAGACTTGGTTGTGCAGTAACTGAGTTCTTGAAAAGAGGAAATGCTTGATGAGGGTGAGTGGATTACATAACTGTTTAATATCCAATGGAAACCAAAAGAAAATGGCTAAGTGGAACATGTTTACATGAATTGAGCAAAATATTGGGTAGCCATAGTTTCTGGTGTCTTTGTTTCTTCATGGCCTTCTTTTTGAAATGTGTAGTCATGTATGTGTAAACATTCAAACAAAAAGTTGATAGTGTCTACTTTACTAAAGTAATATTCTTGAGGCTGTATTTTAAGATTTACCTTTATTTGCCAGGCGCAGTGGCTCATGCCTATAATCTCAGCACTTTGGGAGGCCGAGGCTGACCGATCACGAGGTCAGGAGTTCGAGACCAGCCTGGCCAACATAGTGAAACTCTGTCTCTACCAAAAATACAAAAATTAGTAAGGTGTGGAGGCACACACCTGTAATCCCAGCTACCTGGGAGGCTGAGGCAGGAGAATCACTTGAAACCAGAAGGCAGAGGTTGCAGTGAGCTGAGATTGTGCCTCTGCACTCCATCCTGGGCGAAAGAGTGAAACTCTGTCTCAAAAAAAAAAAAAAAAAAAATTTACCTTTATTTATATTGAAGGTGTGAAATGTTGAAAAATAAGACTTAGTACTGTGGACATTCAAATTAATTCGTGCTCCTCAAAGGTTTCTTAAAATACACATTTGGTCTGATCCAAACCACAGTGTACACAGTAATCCACTTTTAATATAGATTTATTTTTTGCTGAAATTAACAATGTACTTATTGAGAGATATGAATGGAAATAATCCAAAAATTCATGAGTTGCCTTGACAAGTTGTATGGTAGCGGTTTTCTTCATTATTAATACATGGACTATTCTTAATATTTGTCAAGCATTATTCTTTAATTTACTATTTGGAGAATACTGTAATCCTTATACCTAAAAGACAAATTATAAAACTCTCAGAGAAACACACAATTATAAACACACACAGCCCATAAAGTCTCAGGAAGTACTTGAAGAATATGTGATGGCATGGGCACATGCTGTGTTTTGTTGTTAAACGATGAGACCATTAGATGAAACTCAGATTAACCTTGACAGGAATTGAACATATGTACTTTGAATATATATGGCATGCAGTGATGAGCATCACCTGGTTTCTTCTCTAGTGGCTCATGCCAAATTCTTGCCTACAATGCACCACAGAAGACGCATAAGGTTCTCAGAATAGGGAGAACTCCCTGGATGTCTCACAGGGGAGCCAGGTCAAAGAACTCTGGGATTTTAAAATTGTTTGCAGGAGAAGATCTTTTCCGCTTTCAGCCCTTTTCTCCTTTTTGTGCGTTCACCCACCGAATTTATCCGCTGAAAGAGATGGTTTGATGCCACGGAAATTACTGGACCTGTAACTCTGAAGCAAATAAAACTAACACAGACTAGCTCAGGAGACTACGTAATTTTTGAAAGAACAAGATTCCTGATGAGGGCAGCTGGTTTAGGCCTTGGTTTGATTTCTTTTCTTTCTTTCTTTCTTTTTTTATTTGAGACGGAGTTTCTCTCTTGTTGCCCAGGCTGGAATGCAATGGCGCGATCTTGCAACCTCCGCCTCCCGGGTTCAAGCGATTCTCCTATCTCAGCCTCCCGGATTCAAGCGATTCTCCTATCTCAGCCTCCCGAGTATCAGGGATTACAGGCATGCGCCACCACGCCCGGGTAATTTTGTATTTTTAATAGAGATGGGGTTTCTCCATATTGGTCAACCTGGTCTCGAACTCCCGACCTCAGGTGATCTGCCCTCCTTGGCCTCCCAAAGTGCTGGGATTACAGGCGTGAGCCACTGCGCCCGGCCTTTGGTTTGATTTCAAGTTGAAAATCAAAAGAAAAAGTGCAGCAGTAAGACCAACAAGCTCCAAACTGCAAGATACAAGGCATCCAGGTTTGGAACGCCTTTATTTATGGGTGGCTTTTTTTTCAGGCAGGAAGGGCGGGAGAAGAGGATTCTGAAACAGGGTTTCTTCCTATATCTGGAGCCATACTGCCATCGCGAGGATGTCGTTTAAAAAAAAAAATCCTTCCGCCATTACAGGGTTCTTCCCGTAAGGACTACCTGTTGGGGAAAGTCTGATCTGTGGGAAGGGGGAAAAGGCTTGGGCTCCATTCTAGGTAGGAGTCCTTGTCTTCTCATCTAAGGCCTTAAAAGATAACTGGATATTGGCGGTATCTTGGTATAGAACCTAGGGAGTGAACATTCTGAAAGCAAATCCTGTAAACTTCTCCTGGAATAACCCTGTTCTATGTGCGCGGTACTGATGCTACCAGAGACCCAAAGATCCATAGCCAGCACGAGAACGTTGGCTGACTCTGGCTCCAAGGGACAGGAAGAAGAGACAGATGCCCGCAAGAGCCTCCATGCGTCTTTGGGAGGGTTCCTGCAGTCCTGCCCACACCAGGAGGAACCGAGGCCCCGCCCCACGACTTCCTGTGCCAGGACAGCCTGGCGGCTGCTGGTTTAGTCCAAGCCCATCACACTCCAGGTTCTACACCAAGATACCGCCAGCGTTAAGGCATCTCTTCAGGCCTTAGAGGAGAAAGCAAGAAGACCTGGAGCCCAAGCGTCTACCACCTCCCACAGTTCAGACTTCTCCCCACAGCGAATCTTTCCGGGAAGGACGCTGTAATGGCGTATTATGCCTTTATACGATTTCCTCACGGTGGCAGTAGTGCTTCACATTTTCAAGAAATCCCTATCTTGGAGTCCTTTTCTCCCGCCCTTCTTGTCTGAAAAAACGCCACCCAGAGACAAAGGCGCCACCCAATATGGCTGCCTGGAGATTTGTCCAGTTTGGTGCAACCTGGTCTTACGGTTGAATTTTCGCTTTTTTTTTTTCTCCCCCATCTTTAAACAAAATGACGCCTAAACCACCCATGCTCATCAAGAATCTTGTTCTTTCAGAAATTAAATATACTGCTCATTGAGTCTATCTGGGTATGATTTACCTCACACAGTTTACAGGTCCTGGAAGTTGCATGGCGTAGTGTCTCCTTCAGGTGATAAATTGGGTGGATGAAGGTACAACAACGAAGATAGATATCAGATGGATAGATAACCAATGCAAGAAATTTGAAACATGCTAAGTGAAAGAAGGAAAACGAAAAAGGCCACTTACTCTGATAATCAGTAGTGAGGGAAAGCAGATGAGTGTTTGCCGGGGGCTGGGCAGAGAGTAGAACGGGGAATGACAAGTTAATGAGTCCGGGGTTTTATTTTGTGGTAATGAAAATGATTTGCCACTAGATAGTGGTAATGCTCGCAGTGCATTGTGAATATACACTCAATTTCACACATTTTAATGATTAATTTTTTGTTTTATGAATTTTACAAATTCAGTTTTTAAAAGAGCCAATACATTTAAACCTATCATTATTTCCATGAATAATTAATTATATTTGAAAAGTATTCAAGTTTTTAGTGAAGAAAACTTGTTTTAACAGATATACTACAAGGCAGCCAGGCTCGGTGCCTCATGCCTGTAATACTAGCACTTCGGGAGGCCGAGTTGAGTGCATCGTTTGAGGCCAGGAGTTCGAGATCAGCCTGGTCAACATAGCGAAACCCCATATCTAAAATTTAGGAAAAAAAAAAAAAGAAGAAGAAAGAAAAAGAACCAGTTACACTACAGGAGAATTTGAACATTAGTTTATAAAGTTCATATTATATGAGCATAGGGAAAATTGATTATTTCTTCTCACTGTGGTTGACCTATCATATGTTTTCTGCTTTATAATCTCTTAAAGTTCTAGAGTAAAATATGAAAAAAATTCAAACGCTTGAAAGTAAATATTGACGTAGATATATTCAAAGAGTATAAGGTGATGCTGAAGATTTTGTACAAAATTTCTAACAATATGAATTCAATTATATTTAGAGTAAACTGTGTTGAGTGTGTGTGTATCTGTCTGTAGGTATATTACAAAATTTTAAATGCCATCTATATATATGTATTTTTTATATATATATATATATATTTTTTTTTTTTTTAGACAGTGTCTCACTCTGTTGCCCAGGCTGGAGTGCAATGGCATGATCATGGTTCATTGCAGCATCAACCTCCCTGGGCTCCGGTGGTCCTCTTACCTCCACTACCTAAGTAGCTGGGGTTTCCATTGCAAGCCACCATGCCCGGCTATTTTTTGTAGAGACGGGGTCTCACTACATTGCCAGGACTAGTCTTGAACTCCTGGGCTCAAGCTATCCACCTCCTTGGCCTCCCAAAGTGCTGGGATTACAGTTGTGAGCCACTGTGCCCGGCCAATGCTATATATTTTTAATCCTGATAGGTGTTATAGTGAGTATATGTTTGAAGATGGTATTTTTGGCCAACAAATCATGTCTTTAATTCATCATTATATAAACAGAGACACTAATGAAGCATTTTAGCGGCATGTGAGTTGTGTGAATGCATCCATCTTGTAGTTTTCTTAGTTCACACATCAAGGTGACTGAATGTAAGAGATGCCTATTTCAACTATCATTTATTGAATTTTTTAATCTTTCTTTTAGGATTTCAAAGATCAAATTTTAAGGAAAGAATTAGGAATAAAAATTCGAGAAGAATTAAAAATGTCAGTTTTCAGAGGTATAAGTGTGCATAATACATACGTTTATATTGTATACAAATATGTATTTATGTTTATATGTGCATAAATATATTATACTTAAAAGTACAAATTGACTACTTATTTTTTGTTTGTTTTGAGATGGAGTCTCACTCTGTGGCAGAGGCTAGAGTGCAGAGGCACAGTCTCTGCTCACTACAACCTCTGCCTCCCCTGTTCAAGCGATTCTACTGCCTCAGCCTCCTGAGTAGCTGGGATTACAGGTGCCTGCCACCACGCCCAGCTAATTTTTGTATCTTTAGTAGAATCAGGTTTCACCATGTTGGCCAGGCTGGTCTCTAACTCCTGACCTCGTGATCCACCCGCCTCGGCCAACGTGCAGGTTTGTTACATATGTATACATGTGCCATGTTGGTGTGCTGCACCCATTAACTCGTCATTTACATTAGGTGTAAACTGTATAGATCGAACTTTGTCTCTGTGTTGAAAAAATGGGAGTAAATATGGAACTGTTTGTGTGTGTGTTTGTTTTTGAGACAGAGTCTCGCTCTGTTGCCCAGGCTGGAATGCAGTTGCATGATCTCAGCTCACTGCAACCTCCGCCTACTGGGTTCAAGCAATTCTCCTGCTTCAGCCTTCTGAGTAGCTGGGACTACAGGCATGCGCCACCATACCCGGCTACATTTTTGTATTTTTAGTAGATATGGGGTTTCATCATGCTGGCCAGGCCGGTCTCAAACTCCTGACCTCGTGATCTGCCCGCCTCAGCCTCCCAAAGTGCTGGGATTACAGGTGTGAGCCACCACGCCTGGCCCATAATATGGAACTGTTTATCAGTGTTTAATACACAATGTTATGGCATTGCTTTTCTCTTGATCAGCATATGATTATTTTTATCTTCTTTGCAAGTTCCACGGCTTTGTTAATAACGAGAAAATATAGGACTGATTCCTAACTGAAAAACAATAAGACACATACAAAACAAAGTCAGAGAACACAGTCACAGCCTTTTAATGACACTGGAAAATATTTCTGTTCCAATGTTAAATAATGAAACCATGAGACAAAATCCTGTGATCCATCTGATTAGCATTTATAGTCATTTGTGTATTTGTGTCCATTCAAATAGGGCTGAGTGTGTCTTGTCAGGCTGGAGAGCTCTCCGTACCCTTATGTTAGAGCTCCATTACATATTGGCCTCCCCCTCAACATGTAAGGCCTACTGCCTAGGTCAGATATGGAGTAGAACTGCCAGGGAACTTGGGTAGGGAGTCGGGACAAGAACCACATGACCTGGTGTCTAGATTTGCTCTTCTCCAAGACCTTAACGGTAAGCTTTTTTTCTCTTCTCTCCTTAGGCATAGCTCACTAAGGTCTGTTCCCAATACGAGAAGACTACTTGACATCATAATAAAACACTGCAGATATGATGCTGAGTGAAAAAGAGTAGAAATGGGAAGACTCGGTTGTGCAGAAACTGAGTTCTTAAAGAGAGGAGATACTTTATGAGGGTGAGTGGATAACCTCTCAGTTTAATAGCCAATGGAAACCAAAAGCAAATGACTAAGAGTGGAGTATGTTTACACAAATTGAGCAAAATGTTAGGTAGTCATAGTTTCTGATGTCTTTGTATCTTCATGGCCTTTTTATTGAAGCATGTAGTGATGTATCTGTAAACATTCAAACAAAAAGCTGATAGTGTCTACTTTTTTAAGGCAATATTCCTGAGGCCCTATTTTAAGATTTACCTTTATTTATATTGAAGGCGTGAAATGTTGACATATAAACTTAGTACTGTTGACATTCTAATGAATTCACGCATCTGAAAGATTCGGTAAAATACACACTTGGTCTTATCCACACCACAATGTGCACAGTAATCCACTTTTAACACAGTTATTTTTTGCATGAAATTAACAATGTATGTACATATTGAAAGATATGCATGGAAATAATCCAAAAGTTCATGAGTCGCTTTGACAAGTTGTATGGTAGCAGTTTTCTTCATTATTAATACATGGATTTTTCTTAATCTTTGTCAAGCATTATGCTTTAATTTACTAGTTGGAGAGTACTGTAATCCTTATACCTAAAAGACAAGTTATAAAACTCTCAGAGACACACACAAACACAAACACACACACCCCATAAATTCTCAGGAAATATTTGAAGAATATGTAATGACATAGTGACATGCTGTGTTTGGATGTCAAATGATGAGACCATGAGATGAAACTCTGAGCCACGTTGACAGGAATTAAACATAGGTACTATGAGTGTCATGTCATTTGGACTATATATGGCATGCGGTAATGAGCGTAACCTGGTTTCTCCTCTAATGACTCATGCGAAATCGTTGCCTACAATGCACTACAGAAGGCTCTTAGAATACGAAGAACTCCCTGGATGTCTGATCAGGGAGCCAGGTCCAAGATGCTTTTTGTTTCGTTGTGTTTTGTTTTGTTTTTTGAGAACAGTCTTGCTCTGTTACCCAGGCTGGAGCGCAGTGGCGCGATCTTGGCTCACCGCAACCTCCCTCTCCTGGGTTCAAACAATTCTCCTACCTCAGACTCCCGAGTAGCTGAGATTACAGACGCCCGCCACCATCCCCAGCTAATTTTTGCATTTTTAGTAGAAACGGGGTTTCAGGGGTTTCTCCACGTAGGACAGGCTGGTCTCCAACTCCTGACCTCAGTCATTCCGCCTGCCTTGGCCTCCTAAAGTGCTGGAATTACAGGCCTGAGCCACCGCACCCTCCTGCTTGGGATTTTTAAATTGTTTACTGGGAAAGATATTTTCCATGCTTTCAGCCCTTTTCTCCTTTTTGTGTGTCCATTCACCGAATTTATCCCCTGAAAGAGACAGTTTGATGCCACGGAAATTACTGGTCCTGCAACTCTGAAGTAAATCAAACCCACGCAGACTAGGTCATGAGGATATTTCATTTTTGAAAGAACAAGATTCCTGATGGAGGCAGGTGGTTTAGGCCTTGGTTTGATTTCAAGTGCAAAACAAAAAGAAAAAGTGCAGCAGTAAGACCAGCTGGCTCCAAAATGGGCAAAACAGAAGGCATTCATGTTTGGTGGCGCTTTGTCTATGGGTGGCGTTTTTTCAGACAAGAAGGGCGGAAGACCTGGGCTCAAAGACAGGGCTTCTTGGCATATCTGCAGCACTGCTGCCATCGCGAGGAAGTCGTTTGGTGAATCCCTACGCCGTTATTATAGCGTTCTCTGAGGACTACATGTTGGGGAAGGACTGGTCTGTGGGGAAGTGGAAGAGGCTTGGGCCCTTGCCTTTTTGTCTGAGGCCTTAAAAGAGACATGGACATTGGCGATATTTTGGTATAGAACCTGGAGAGTGAAGGTTCTAATAGCAAATCCTGTAAACTTCCCTTGGAATACCCTTGTTGATTTTGCACGGTACTTATGCTACCAGAGACCCAAAGACCCATAGCAAGATGCCAACACGTGAAAGCCTGCTGACTCTTGCTCCAAGGGGCAATTACATGAGACAGATGTCCCTAAGAGCCTCCATTTGTGTTTGAGTGGGTTCCTGCAGTCCTGCCCACCCTAGGAACCGAAGTCCCGCCCCACGACTTCCTGTGCCAGGACCGCCTGGCAGCTGCTGCTTCATTCCAAGTCCCTCACTCTCCAGGTTCTACACCAAGATATCGCCAATGTCCAGGTTTCTCTTCAGGAGTTCCAGGAGAAGCCAAGAAGACCTAGCCTGGAGCCCAAACCTCTTCCACTTTCGCACAGATCAGACCTTCCCCCATAGCCAGGCTTCCCCGAAAGAAGCTATAATGGCGTATTGAGTCTTTAAACCATTTCCTCACGGTGGCAGTAATACTCCATATTTTCAAGGAAGCCCTATCTTGGAGCCCTTTTCTCCCGCCCTTCCTGTCTGAAAAAACGCCACCCAGAGACGAAGGCGCCACCCAATATGGCTGCCTGGAGATTTGTCCAGTTTGGTGCAACCTGGTCTTACTGTTGCATTTTTCCTTTTTTTACTCCGTGTGAAAACAAAATGAGACCTAAACCACCCAGGTTCATCAGGAATCTTGTTCTTTCAGAAATTAAATACACTCCTCACTGAGTCTATCTGGGTATGATTTACTTCACACAGTTACAGATCCAGCAAGTTTCATGGCATAAAATTGTCTCCTTAAGGTGATAAACTGTGTGGATGCAGGTACAACAACAAAGATATCAAAGAGATAGATGACCAATGCATGAAATTTGAACACGTTATGTGAAAGAAGGAAGTTGAAAAGGGCCACTTATTGTTATGATCAGTAGTGAGGGGAAGCAGATGAGTGTTTGTCAGGGACTGGGCACAGAGAGAGCCCAATGCGGAATGACTGCTTAATGGGTCCGGGGTTTTGTTTTGTGGTAATGAAAATGATTTGCCACTATGTAGTGGTAATGCTTGGACGGCATCTTGAATGTACTAGATGCCACTCAATTTCACACATTTTAATGGTTAATTTTATGTTATATGAATTTTACAAACTCAGTTTTAAGAAGTGCCAATACTTTTAAACCTATCATTATAATTATATTAGAAAAGTGCTCAAATTATCAGTGAAGAAAACTTGTTTAGAACAGTAATACTACCAGGTGTCCGGGTGCCGCATGCCTATAATCCTAGCACTTTGGGAGTCCGAGATGGGAGGATCACTTGAGGTCAGGAGTTCGAGGTCAGCCTCGTCAATATAGCGAAACCCCGTATCTAAAATAAAAAAATTAAAAACCGCTGGGCGTGGTGGCTCACACCTGTAATCCCAGCACTTTGGGAGGCCGAGGCGGGCGGATCACGAGGTCAGGAGATCCAGACCATCCTGGTTAGCACCGTGAAACCCTGTCTCTACTAAAAATACAAAAAAAAAAAAAAAAATTAGCCAGGCATGGTGGTGGGAGCCTGTAGTCCCAGCTACTCAGGAAGCTTGCAATAAGCCGGGATCACTTCACTGCACTCCAGTCTGGGCGACAGAGCAATACTCCATCTCAAAAAAACCAAATCAACCCAAAACATAGCAAAACGAACAAAAAAAAGTTATACTACAGAGGAAATTGAACATTAGTTTTAAAAAGTCCATATTATATGTGCATAGGGAAAAGTGATTATTTCTTCTCACTATGTTTGACCTACCATATGTCTTCTGCTTTATAATTTCTTAAAGTTCTTGTAGAGTAAAATATAAAACAATTTCAAGCACTCAAAAGTATATATTGATGTAGATATATTTATTCAAAGAGCATAAGGCGATACTGCAGACTTTGTACAAATTTCAAACATTATGCATCCAATTATATTTAAAGTAAACAGTGTCAAGTGTGTGTATATTTATATCTGTCTGGAGATATATTACAAAATTTTAAATGCCATATATCTATACATATATACACACACACACACACACACATACATATATATATATATATGAGACTGTCTCACTGTTGCCTAGGCTGGAGTGCAGTGGCATGATCATGGATCAATGCAGCATCAGTCTCCCTGGGATCAGGTGATCTTGCCAACTCTGCCTCCTATACGTACCTGGGGCTTCTGTTGTACCCCACCATGCCCGGTTATTTTTTGTAGACACAGGGTCTACTTACATTGCCAGGGCTGGTATTGAACTCCTGAGCTCAAGCTGTCTACCTGCCTCGGCCTCCCAAAGTGCGGGAATTATAGTTGTGAGCCACCGTGCCTAGCCAAAGCTATAAATTTTTAATTATGGTAGATGTTATACTGAGTATATGTTTGAAGATGGCATTTTTGGTGAACAAATTCACATTTTTAATGCATTGTTATATAAACAGAGACACTAATGAAGCGTTCTAGCTGCATGTGAGTTTTGTGAGTGCATCCATCTTACAGTTTTCTAAGGTTACACATCTAGGTGACTGAATGTGAGAGATGCCTATTTCAACTATCATTTATTAAATTTTTTTATCCTTCTTTTAAGATTTTAGAGATAAAATTTTAAGGTAAGAATTAGTAATAAAATTTGGAGAATAATTAAAAATCCTTATTTTCATAGGTATAAGTATGTAAAATACATATGTTTATATTGTATATAAATATGTATTTCTATGTTTATGTATGTACAAATATACGTATATTGGATTTAAAAGTCCAAGTTGAAAACATGTTTTGATGAATAGTCCAAAGAAGAAGTTCTTTGCAAATATTTTATTGTAAAAAATTCAGATATTGCAAATATTTATGAGAATATCAAGAACTCAGGAATCAGATGTGAAAATTTTAATCTTCATCATTATGTATGGCTAAATTCAAGTAAAATGTAAATTTATTGTGGTGGTTGACTGTATATATAGAACTTTTTATCTATATACTGAAAAAATAGGAGTAAACATGGAAACAGTTATCAGTGTTTAATACGCAGTTTTATGATGTCGCATTTCTCTTCATCAGCAGTTGGTTACTTTTCACTTTGCAAATTCCATGTCTTCGTTACTAATGAGAAAATACAGGACTGATTCCTAACTGAAAAGCAGTAAGACACATACACAACAAAGACGTAGGACACAGTTCAGTTGTAAGTCATAGCCTTGTAATGACACTGGAAAATATTTCTGTTCCAATGTTAAATGACGAAACTATGAGATAAAATCCTGTGATTCATCTGATTGGGATTTATAGTCATTCCTGTATTTGTGTCCATTCAGCTAGGGTTGTGTGTGTCTTGTCAGGATTGAGAGCTATCTGAGCCCTTATGTTAGAGCCCCACTAAATAGCCACCACTACCGCAACATATAAGGCCTAATGACTAGGTTAGAATATGGAGTAAAACTCCCAGGGAACCTGGGGAGGGAGTCAGGACAAGAACCATGTGGCCTGGTGCCTAGAGTTGCTCTTCTCCAAGACCTTAGGGGTAAGCTTTTTTTTTTTCTTCTCTCCTTAGGCATGGAAATCTAAGGTCTTTCCAGAATACCACAAGACTACTTGATATCATAATAAAACACCGTAGATATGATGCTGAGTGAGTAAGAGTAGAAATGGGAAGACCTGGTTGTGCAGAAACTAAGTTCTTAAAAGGAGGAGATGCTTGATGAGGGTGAGTGGATTACATCTCAGTTTAATAGCCAATGGAAACTAAAAGCAAATGGCTGAGTGGAATATGTTTACACAAATTGAGCAAAATGTTGGGGAGCCATAGTTTCTGGTGTCTTTGTCTCTTCATGGCCTTTTTTTTTTTAGAAACATGTAGTGATGTATCTGTAAAAATTCCACAAAAAACTGATAGTGTCTACTTTACTAAAGTAATATTCCTTAGGCCCTATATTAAGATTTACCTTTATTTATATTGAATGCGTGAAATGTTGAGATATAGGACTTAGTACTGGGCCAGGCAAGGTGGCTCTCGCCTGTAATCCCAGGACTTTGGGAAGCCGAGGCAGGTGGATCATGAGGTCGGGAGTTCGAGACCAGCCTGACCAACATGGTGAAACTCCAAGGGCGTAGTGGCACACGTCTGTAAACCCAGCTACTCAGGAGGCTGAGGCAGGAGAATTCCTTGAACCCAGGATGCAGACCTTGCAGTGAGCTGAGATCCCACCACTGTGTGCCAGCCTGGGCTGCAGAGCAAGACTGTCTCAAAAAAAAAGACTTAGTACTGGTGACATTCTAATAAAATCATTCTCCTCAAATGTTTGTTAAAATACACACTTGGGGTGGCTGGGTGCGGTGGCTCAGGCCTGTAATCCCAGCACTTTGGGAGGCCAAGGCGGGCAGATCATGAGGTCAGGAGATCCAGACCATCCTGGCTAACACGGTGAAAACCTGCCTCTACTAAAAAAAAATACAAAAAATTAGCCAGACGTGGTGGTGGTCGCCTGTAGTCCCAGCTATGTGGGAGGCTGAGGCAGGAGGATGACGTGAACCCGGGAGGCGGAGCTTGCAGTGAGTGGATATGCGCCACTGCACTCCAACCTGGGTGACAGAGCAAGACTCCGTCTCAAAAAAAACAAAACAAAACAAAACAAAAACAAAAAAAACAAAAAAACAAAACACACACTTGGTGTGATCCAAATCACAGTGTACACAGTAATCCACTTTTAATACAGAACAAGATTCCTGATGAGAGCGGGTGGTTTAGACCTTGCTTTGATTTGAACTGGAAACCAAAAGAAAAAGCTCAGCAGTAAGACCAGCTGGCTGCAAACTGGGCTAAATATAAGGCACCCATTCTGCAGGGCCTTTGTCTACAGGTGGCATTTTCTCAGACAGGAGGGGCGGAAAAAGAGGGCTCTGGAAAAGGGCTTCTTTGCATATCTGAAGCCCTACTGCCATCGTGAGGATGTTGTTTAACAAATCCCTAAGCCATTATGACAGTGTTCTCCTGAGGACTACCTGTTGGGGAAGTTCTCTGTGAGGAGGTGGAAGAGGCTTGCTCCATGCTGGGAATCCTAGCTTTCTCGTCTAAGGCCTTAAAGGACACCGGAACTTTGGCGGTGTCTTGGTATAGAACCTGGAGTGTGAAGGTTCTAATAGCAAATCCTATAAACTCCCCTGGGAATAAATCTGTTTGTGTGCGGTACTGGTGCTACCAGAGACCCAAAGACCTGTAGCAAGATGGTAGTACGAGAAAGCCTACTGACTCTTGCTCCAAGGGACAGGAAGAAGAAGAGACAGATGCCCACGAGAGCCTCCATGTGTGTTTGAATAGGTTCCTGCAGTCCTGCCCACACTTGGAGGAACCGAGGCCCCGCCCCACCTCTTCCTGTGCCAGGATCGCCTGGCAGCTGCTGGTTCACTCTAAGCCCCTCACTCTCCAGGTTCTACACCAAGATACCACCAATGTTAAGACCTTTTTTCAGGCCATTGAGGAGAAAGCAAGAAAACCTAGCCTGGAGCCCGAGCGTCTGCCACCTCCCACAGTTCAGACTTCCGCCACAGCAACTCTTTCCGGGAAGGACGCTGTAATGGCGTTTTTAAACGATTTCCTCATGGTGGCAGTAGTGCTCCACATTGTCAAGGAATCCCTATCTTGGAGCCCTTTTCTCCCGCCCTTCCTGTCTGAAAAAACGCCACCCAGAGACAAAGGCGCCACCCAACATGGCTGCCTGGAGATTTGTCCAGTTTGGTGCAACCTGGTCTTACTGTTGAATTTTTCCTTTTTTTTTTTTCCCATCTGAAAGCAAAATGAGGTCTAAACCACCCAAGCTTCTCAAGAATTCTGTTCTTCCAGAAATTAAATATACTCTTCACTGAATCTATATGGGTATGATTTACTTCACACAGTTACAGGTCCTGGAAGTTCCATGGTATCAGATTGTCTCTTTCAGATGATAAATTGGGTGGATGAAGGGACAAAAACAAAGACAGATGTCTAACAGATAGATATCAAGGAGATAGAAAACCAATTCATGAAATTCGAAACTCTAAGTGAAAGAAGCAGGACTGAAGCAGGAGATGTAAAAGCAAAAAAAAAAAAAGAGAGAAAAACTAGTTCTCTGTGCTGGGCTGACTCACTCCAAGGCCCAGCAGTAAGTAGGACTCTATCAGGACTTTGATAGCACTCTCAGCAGAGCAGGGGCCCAGAAGGAATGGGCTTTAGAAGCAGGGATAAGAAAAGCAAGTTCTTTGGCCAGGCAGGGTGGCTCACACCTGTAATCCCACCACTTTGGGAGGCTGAGGCGGGTGGATCACCTGAGGTCAGGAGTTCAACACCAGCCTGGCCAACATGGTGAAACTCTACTAAAAATACAAAAATTAGCCAGGCATGTTGGCAGGCAGCTGTAATCCCAGCTATTTGGAAGGCTGAGGCAGGAGAATCGCTTTAACCGGGGAGGAGGAGGTTGCAGTGAGCCGAGGTTGCGCCATTGCACTCCAGCCTGGGGAACAAGAGTGAGACTCTATCTCAAAAAAAAATAAAATGCAAAATATCAAACACTGAGTAACACAAAAAGAAAAAAAAAAAAAAAAAAAACAGAAAAGGAAAACAAGTTATTTTTATCAGTTTCCCTTTTGAAATTCTTTCCCCGTACCATTGTTCTTTGTTCTACTCTCACAACTATTTTTATAACTATTTCTGCAAGCTTGTAAGGATTTTGTAAGTTCCTGTTTTCCAGCTGTGCAGTTATGGCGAAGGTCACAAGACATGCCTGAGTTGTAAAACCTGTCACTGTTTGATAAACTGCCTTTGTTCTGCTTCTGTACGCTTGCTTACCTGCTTTACAGGTTTTGGGCCCTTTTCAGATATATGTATAAAAGTCAAGCCCTGTCTTGGTTCGGGGCTCAGCCTTTGGACATTAATCTGCTGTGTTGGTGACCACCTAGTAAAATCCTCCTATTCCACTTGTTGGTCTCTCTGGTCTCCTGATTCTGGCAACAAGACCAACAAGGCCACCTGTTGTGATGATCAGTAGTGAGGGAAATCAGATGAGTGTTTGCCAGGGACTGGGCAGAGAGTGGAATGGGGAATGGCTAACTGATGGGTCCAGGATTTTCTTTTGTGGTAATGAAAATGATTTGCCACTACACAGTGGTAATGCTTGCATTGCATTGTGAATGTCCTAAATGCCACTGAATTTAATACATTTTAATGGTTAATTTTATGTTACATGAAGTTTACAAACTCAGTTTTAAAAAGTGCCAATACTTTTAAAGCTATCATTATTTCCATGAATTACTAATTATATTTCAAAAATACTCCAGTTATCAGTGAAAAAAACCTTGTTTTAACAGTTATGGTACGTGGTGGCCAGTCAAGATGCCTCATGTCTGTAATCCTAGCACTTTGGGAGTCCAAGATGGGAGGATCGCTTGAGGCCAGGAGTTCGAGATCAGCCTAGTCAACAGAGTGAAACCCCATATCTAAAATTAAAAATGCAAAACAACAACAACAATAACAACAACAAGTTATAGTACGGGGAATATGAACATTAGTTTATAAAAGTCCATATTATATATGTATAGGGAACAGATCATATTACCTAGCACAGACATTTTAAAAGTGATTATTTCTTCTCACTATGTTTGACCTACCACAAGTTTTCTACTTTATAGTTTCTTACAGTTCTTCTAGAGTAAAATATAAAAAATTTCAAGCACTCAAAAGTATGTATTGATGTAGATATATTCAAAGAGTATAAGGTAATGGTGAATATATATGTGTGTGTATACGTATATACACACATACATGTACATATACGTATATGTGTGTATGTATATGTGTGTGTATATGTGTGTATATATATTTTAGACAGCGTCTTACTCTGTTGCCCAGGGTGGACTGCAGAAGCATGATCATGGCTCACTGCAGCATCAACCTCCATGGGCTCAGGTGATCCTCCCATTTCCGCCTCCTGCGTAGCTAGGGCTTCTGTTGTAGGTCACCATGCCCGACTATTTTTTGTATTTTTTGTAGAGATGGGGTGTCTCTGCATTGTCAGGGTTGGACTTGAACTCCTATGCTCAAGCTATCCACCTGCCTAGGCCTCCCAAAGTGCTGGAATTACAGTTGTGAGCCACCATGCCCAGCCAATGCCATATATTTTTAATCGTGGTAGGTGTTATAGTGAGTATATGTTTGAAGATGATATTTTTGGCCAGTAAATTCATATATTTAATTCATCGTTATATAAACAGAGACACTAATGAAGCGCTCTAGCTGCATGTAAGTTTTGTGAATGCATCCATCTTACAGTTTTCTTAGGTTACACATCTAGGTGACTGAATGTGAGAGATGCCTATTTCAACTACCATTTATTGAATTTTATTATCTTTCTTTTGAATTTTTTTTTTTTTTTTTTTTTTTTGTGAGACGGAGTCTCGCTCTGTCACCAGGCTGGAGTGCAGTGGCACAATCTCGGCTCATTGTAACCTCTGCCTCCTGGGTTCAAGTGATTCTCCTGCCTCAGTCTCCCGAGTAGCTGGGACTATAGGCATGCACCACCATGCCCGGTTAATTTTTTTGTATTTTTAGTAGAGACGGGGTTTTACCATGTTGGCCAGGCTGGTCTCGAATTCCTGACCTTGTGATCCGCCCACCTCAGGCTCCCAAAGTGCTGGCATTACAGGTGTGAGCCACTGCGCCCAGCCTGAAATTTTAAAAATAATGTTTTGTGCTAAGAACTAGGGATAAAATTTGAGAAGTATTAAAAATCCTGATTTTCAGAGGTATAAATATGTATAATACATATGTTTATGTTGTGTATAAATATGTATAATACATGTTTATGTTGTATATGCATATGTATTTATATGTTTATGTATGTATAAATACATATATATTTTCGATTTAAAGGTGCAAATTGCGATCTTATGTTTTGATGAATAGGCCAATCACAAGTTCTCAGCAAATATTTTATTGTCTAAAATTCAGATATTGCAAATTTTTTATGAGAATATCAAAAACTCCTAAGGAATCAGTGGTGAAACTTTTAGTTCTTTAACCTTATATATAGCTAAATTGAAGTAAAATGTAAATTTATTGTCATGTTTGACTGTATATATAGAACTTTTTATTTGTGTAGGAAAAAAATTGGAGTAAATATGGAAATGGTTAATATTGGTTAATACACAGTTTTATTACATTGGTTTTCTCTGCATCAGCATATGGTTATTTTTATTTTTTTTTTCCGGTTTTTTTTTTTTTTTTTTGAGTTGTAGTTTTGTTCCTGTTGTGCAGGCTGGAGTTCAATGGCGTGATCTTGGCTCACTGCAACTTCTGCCTCCCAGGTTCAAGCGATTGTCTTGCCTCAGCCTCCCGAGTAGCTGAGATTACAGGCATGTGCCACCACGCCCGGCTAATTTTGTATTTTTAGTAGAGATGGGCTTTTACCATGTTGGTCAGTCTGGTCTCGAACTCCCGACCTCAGGTGATCTGCCCTCCCAGGCCTCCCAAAGTGCTGAGATTACAGGTGTGAGCCACCGTGCTCAGCCCCCCGCCCCTTTTATTTCTTGAGAGGGAGTCTCACTCTGTTGTCAGGCTGGAGTGCAGTGGCACGAACTTGGCTCCCTGCAACCTTCACCTCCCAGGTTCAAGTGATTCTCCTGCCTTAGCCTCCCGAGTAGCTGGGACTATAGGTGCACACCACCAGGCCCAGCTAATTTTTGTGTTTTTAGTAGAGACGGGTTTTCACCATGTTGGTGGGATGGTCTCAATCTCTTGACCTTGTGATCCGCCTGCCTCCGCCTCCCAAAGGGTTTTTTTTTAACTTCATTGCAAATTCCATGTCTTCCTCACTAATAAGAAAGTATAGGACTGATTCCTAAGTGAAAAACAGTAAGACACATATACAACAAAGTCATAAGAGGCAGTCCTAAGTCATAGGTTTTTTTTTGTTCGTTTTTTTTTTTTTTTTTGAGGCAGAGTCTTGCTCTGTCGCCCAGGCTGGAGTGCAGTGGTGAGATCTCCACCCACTGCAAGCTCCGCCTCCCGGGTTCATGCCATTCTCTTGCCTCAGCCTCCCAAGTAGCTGGGACTACAGGTGCCCACCACCATGCCCGGCTAATTTTTTGTATTTTTAGTAGATATTTTCCTCTTGTTGCCCAAGGGACATCTCTTGCTCCAAGGGACAGGAAGAAGAGACAGATGCCTACAAGAGCCTCAATGTGTGTTTGAGTGGGTTCCTGCAGTCCTGCCCACATAGGAGGAACTGAGGCCCCACCCCACAACGGGGTTTCACCATCTCAGCCAGACTGCTTTCAATCTCCTGACCTGGTGATCCACCTGCCTCGGCCTCCCAAAGTGCTGGGACTACAGGCGTGAGCCACCGGGCCTGGCCATAGCTTTTTTTGCTTTGTTTTGAGACGGATGGAGTCTCACTTTGTTACCCATGGTGGAGTGCATTGGCACGATCTTGGCTCACTGCAACCTCTGCCTTCGGTTCAAGCGATTCTCCTGCCTCAGCTTCCCAAGTAGCTGGGATTACAGGCATGTACCACCATTCCTGGCTAATTTTTTTTTTGTATTTTAGTAGAGACAGGGTTTCACCGTGTTGGCCAGGCTTGTCTCGACCTCCTGACCTCAAGTGATCCACCCACCTTGGCCTCCCAAAGTGCTGGGATCACAGGTGTGAGCCACCACACCCAGCCAGTCATAGCCTTTTAATGACACTGGAAAATATTTTTGTTCCAATGTTAAATAATGAAACCATGAGACAAAATCCTGTGATCCATCTGATTAGCATTTATAGTCATTTGTTTGTGTCCATTCAAATAGGGCTATGTATGTCTTGTCAGATTTGAGAGCTATATGGGCACTTACGTTATAGCCCCACTAAACAGCAGCCTCCCCGTCAACATATAAGGTCTAATGACTAGGTCAGAACATGGAGTAAAACTCCCAGGGAACCTGGGGAGGGAATCAGGACAACAATCATGTGGCCCGGTGCCTAGATTTGCTCTTCTCCAAGACCTTGGGGATAAGCTTTATTTTTTCTTCTCTCCTTAGGCATGGATCCTTAAGGTCTGTTCCCAATACAACAAGACTATCTGTTATCGTAATAAAACACTGCTGATAGGATGCTGAATGAAAAACAGTAGAAATGGGGAGATTTGGTTGTGCAGAAGCTGAGTTCTTAAAAAGAGGAGATGCTTGATGATGGTGAGTGGATCTCATCTCAGTTCAATATCCAATGGAAGCCAAAAGCAAATGGTTAAGAGTGGAAAATGATTACACATATTGAGCAGAATATTAGGTATTCGTGCTTTCTGTTCTCTTTGTCTCTTCATGGCATTTTGTTTTGAAACGTAGAGTAATGTATCTTTAAAAATCCAAACAAAAAGGTGATAAGTATCTACTTTTCTAAAGTAATATTTGTGAGGCCCTATTTTAAGGTTTACCTTTACTCATATTGAAGGCGTGAAATGTTGACATATAAGACTTAGTAGTGGTGACATTCAAATGAATTCACCCTCCTCAAAGGTTTGTTAAAATGCACACTTGATCTGATCCAAACCACAGTGTACACAGTAATCCACTTTTAATACAGATTTATTTTTTCATGAAATTAACAATGTATGCATGTATTTAAAGATATCCCTGGAAATAATCCAAAAGTTCTTAAGTTGCCTTGACTAGTTGTATGGTAGTGGTCTTCTTCATTATTAATACATGGATTTTTCTTAATCTTTGTCAAGCACTATTCTTTAATTTACTAGTTAATCCTTATACCTAAAAGACATTATAAAACTCTCAGAGACACACACAAACACAACCACACACAGCCCATAAAGTCTCAGGAAATACCTGAAGAATATGTAATGGCATGGGCACATACTATGTTTTGATGTTAAATGATGAGACCATGAGATGAAACTCTGATTCACCTTGACAGGAATTAAGCATATGTACTATGAGTATCATGCCATGTGGAGTATACATGGCATGCAGTAAGGAGTGTCACCTGGTTTCTCCTCTAACGGCTCATGCCAAATTGTTTCCTACAATGTATACATAAGGCTCTTAGAATAGGAAGAATTCCCTGGATGCCTGACAGGGGAGCCAGGGCCAAGACCTCTGGGATTTTTAAATTGTTGCTGGAGATCTTTTCCAAGCTTTCAGCCCTTTTCTCCTTTTTGTGCGTTCATTCACTGAAGCTATCCCCTGAAGAAGACAGTTTAATGCCATGGAAATTATTGGACCTGTAACTCTGAAGTAAATCAAACCCACACAGACTAGATTAGGAGAATAATTTCTTAAAGAACAAGATTCCTGACAAGGGTGGTTGGTTTAGACCTTGGTTTGATTTCAAGTGAAAAACAAAAAGAACACAGCAGTAAGACCAGCTGGCTCTAAACTGGGCAAAATAGAAGGCATCCATGTTTGGTGGCTCTTTGTGTATGTGTGGTGTTTTTTCAGACAGGAAGGGCGGGAGAAGAGGGCTACAAACAGGGCTTCTTGACATATCTGGAGCGCTACTGCCATCGCGAGGAAGACGTTTAACAAATTACAGTCGTTTAACGCCATTACAGAGTTCTCTGAGCACTACCTGTTGGGGTAGGTGTGGTCTGGTAAGAGGTGAAAGAGGCTTGGCCTCCATGCTGGGCGTCCTTGCCTACTTGTCCAAGGCCTTAAAAGAGACCTGGACATTGGCAATATCTTGCTATAGAACCTGGAGTGTGAAGGTTCTACTAGCAAATCCTGTAAACTTCCCTTGGAATAAACCTGTTGTTTGTGCGAGGTACTGATTCTATCAGAGACCCAAAGACCCATAGCAAGATGCCAGCATGAGAAAGCTTGCTGACTCTTGCTCCAAGGGACAGGAAGAAGAGACAGATGCCTACAAGAGCCTCAATGTGTGTTTGAGTGGGTTCCTGCAGTCCTGCCCACATAGGAGGAACTGAGGCCCCGCCCCACAACTTCCTGTGCCAGGACCGCCTGGCAGCTGCTGGTTCACTCCAAGCCCTTCACTCTCCAGGTTCTACACCAAGATACTACCAATGTCTAGGTCACTCTTCAGGCGTTAGAGGAGAAGGCAAGAAGACGTCACCTGGAGGCCAAGCATCTTCCACCTCCCCATAGATCAGCCTTTCCCCACAGCTAGGCTTCCTGGGAAGGAGGCTGTACTGGAGTATTCTTTCTTTAAACGATTTCCTCACGGTGGCAGTAGTGCTCCACATTTTCAGGGAAGCCCTATCTTTGAGCCCTTTCTCCTGCCCTTCCTCTGTGAAATAAGCAAACCAGAGATAAAGGCGCCACCAAACATGGCTGCCTGGAGACTTGTCCAGTTTGGTGCAACGTGGTCTTACTGTTGAATTTTTTTTGTTTGTTTTTGTTTTCCATTTAAAAACAAAATGCAGCTTAAACCACCCATGTTTCTCAGGAATTTTGTTCTTTCAGAAATTAAATACACTCCTCACTGAGTCTATCTGGTTAGATTTACTTCACACAGTTGCAGGTCTAGCAAGTTCCATGGCATCAAATTGTCTCCTTCAGGTGATAAATTGGGTGGATGAAGTTACAACAGCAAAGATAGATATCCAAGAGATAGATATCAATAAGATAGATAACCAATGCATGAAATTTGAAACACGCTAAGTGAAAAAAGCAAGACTTTGAAAAAGCCACTTATTGTGATGATCAGTAGTGAGGGAAAGTAGATGAGTGTTTGCTAGGGGCTGGGCAGAGAGTGGAATGGGGAATGACTGCTTCATGGGTCCAGGGTTTTCTTTTGTGGTAATGAAAATGATTTGCCACTAGATAGAGGTAGTACTTGTACTGCATTGTGAAAGTACTAAATGCCACTGCATTTCACACATTTTAATGGTTAATTTTATGTTATATGGATTTTACCAACTGTTTTAAAAAGTGCCAGTGATTTTAAACCTGTCATTATTTCCATGAATAATTAATTATATTTGAAAAGTACTCAAGTTATCAGTGAAGAAATCTTGTTTTAACAGTTATACTACAAAGTGGCTGGGCTTGGTGCCTCATGCCTGTAATCCTAACACTTTGGGAGGCTGACATGGGAGGATTGCTTGAGGCCAGGAGTTCGAGATCAAACTGGTCAACCTAGGGAAACCCCATATCTAACATTAAAAAACAAAAACAGTTGTGCTACAGGGGAATTTGAACATTAGGTTATAAAAGTCCATATTATATGTGCATAATGAACAGATGAAAATACCTAGCACAGACATTTTAAAAGTCATTATTTCTTCTCACTATATGAGACCCAGCATGTTTTCTGCTTTATAATACCTTTAAGTTCTTCTAGAGTAAAATATAAAAAAATTTCAAGTACTCAGAAGTATATATGGATGTAGATACATTCAAGAAGTATAAGACAATGCTGAAGATTTTGTACAAATTTCAAACAGTATGCATGCAAATTATATTTAAACTGTGTTGAGTGTGTGTGTATTTATATCTGTAGGTATATAACAATATTTTAAATATATATGTGATTGTGTCTTACTGTTGCCCAGGCAAGAGTGCAATGGCATGATCATGGCTCACTAAAGGATCAACCTCCCTGGACTCAGGTGGTCCTCCCATCTCCGCCTCCTACATAGCTGGGCTTCTGTTACACGCCACCATGCCCGGTTATTTTTTGTATTTTTTGTAGAGTCACTACATTGCCAGGACTGGTCTTGAACTCATGGGCTCAAGCTATCCACCTACCTTGGCCTCCCAAAGTGTCGGGATTACAGTAGTGAGCCACTGGGCCCAGCCAATGCTATATATTTTTAATCATGGTAGGTGTTATAATGAGTATATGTTTGAAGATGGTATTTTTGGCCAACAAATTCAAAACTTTAATTCATCATTATATAAACAGAGACACTAATAAAGCATTCTAGCTGCGTGTGAGTTACATTAATGCATCCATCTTACAGTTTTCTTAGGTTACACATCCAGGTGACTGAATGTGAGAGATGCCTATTTCAGCTATCATTTATTGAATTTTGTTGTCTTTCTTTTGAGATTTCAAAGATAAAATTTTAAGGAAAGAATTAATAAAAATTTGAGAAGAATTAAACATCCTAATTTTCTAGGTATAAGTGTGTATAATACATATGTTTATATTGTATATAAACATGTATTTCTATTTTATGTGTGTATAAATATATATATATTTTAGATATAAAAGTGAAAATGGAGAACTTATGTTTTGATGAATAGTCCAATCAAGAAGTTTTTGCAAATATTTTATTGTCTAAAATTCAGATATTGCAACTTTCTTATGAGAATTTAAAAAACTCAGGAATCAGATGTGAAACTTTTAATTCTTCAACCTTATATATAGCTAAATTCAATTAAAATGTAAATTTATTGTGGTGTTTGACTGTATATATAGAACTTTTTATCTGTGTGTTGAAAAAATGAGAGGAAATATGGAAACAATGATGATTGTTTAATACAGTTTTATGAGATCAGTACATGGTTATTTTTAACTTCTTTGCAAATTCCATGTCTTTGTTACTAATGAGAAAATATAGGACTGATTCCTAACTGAAAAACAATATGACACAAAAGAAAGTCATAGGGCACAGTTCTAAGTGACAGCTGTTTAATGACACAGGAAAATATTTCTAATTCAATGTTAAATAATGAAACTATGAGACAAAATCCTGTGATCAATCTGATTAGTATTTACAGTGATTCCTGTGTTTGTGTCTATTCAAGTAGGGCTGTGGGTGTCCTGTCAGGCTTGAGAGGTATCCGTACCCTTATGTTAGTGCCCCACTAAATAGCATCCTCCCCCTCAATGTATAAGGCCTACTGACTAGATCAGAACATGGTGTAAAACTCCCAGGGAACCTGAGTAGAGAATCAGGACAAGAACCACGTGGCCTGGTGACTAGATTTGCTCTTCTCCAAGCCTTTAGAGGTAAGCTTTTTTTTTTTTCTTCTCTCCTTAGGCATGGAAACCTAAGGTTTCTCCCCATTACTACAAGACTATTTGATATCACAATAAAATACTGCAGATATGATGCAGAGTGAAAAAGAGTAGAAATGGGAAGACTTAGTTGTGCAGAAACTAAGTTCTTAAAAAGATGAGATACTTGATGAGGGTGCATGTATTACATCTCAGTTTAATATCCAATGGAAACCAAAAGCAAATTGTTGAGAATGGAAATTGTTTACACAAATTGAGCAAAATTTTAGGTAGCCATAATTTCTGATGTCTTTTTCTCTTCATGAACTTTTTTTCAGAAACTTGCAGTGATGTAGCTGTAAAAAATCAAAGAGTTGATATTGTCTGCTTTACTGAAGTAATTTTCCTGAGGCCGTATGTTAAGATTTACCTTTATTTATATTGAAGGCATGAAATGTTGATATATAAGACTTAGTACTGGTGACATTCAAATGAATTCATGCATCTGAAAGGTTCATTAAAATACATACTTGGTCTGATTCAAACCATGGTGTACACAGTAATCCACCTTTTATACAGATTTATCTTTTTGCACGAAGTTAATGTATGCACATATTGAAAGATATGCATGGAAATAATTCATAAGTTCATGAGTTACCTTGACAAGTTGTATGGTAGCGGTTTTTTTCTACGTTATTAATACATGGATTTTTCTTAATATTTGTCAAGCATTATTCTTTAATTTACTAGTTGGAGAATACTGTAATCCTTATACCTGAAAGACCAATTATAAAACTCTCAGAGACACACACAAACACAAACACACACCCCATAAATTCTCAGGAGATACTTGAAGAATATGTAAAGGCATGTGCACATGCTGTGTTTTGATGTTAAATGATGAGACCATGAGATGAAACTCTGAGCCACCTTGACAGGAATTGAACATATGTACTATAAGTATCATGGCATTTGGAGTACATATGGCATGCAGTAAGGAGCATCACCTGGTTTCCTCTCTAATGGCTCATGCCAAAGTGTTGCCTACAGTGCATCACATAAGGCTCTTAGAATAGGAAGAATTCCCTGGATGCCTGACAGGGGAGCCAGGGCAAAGACCTCTGGGATTTTTAAATTTTTTGCTGGAGATCTTTTCCAAGCGTTCAGCCCTTTTCTCTCTCTCTCTCTTTTTTCTTTCTTTTTTTTTTTTTTTTGAGACACTCTCACTCTGTTGCCAAGGCTGGAGAGCAATTGCGCGCCCTCCACTTGCTGCAACCTCCCCCTCCCAAGTTCAAGTGATTCTCCTGCCTCAGTCTCCCAAGTAGCTGGGTTTACAGGCGTGTGCCACCATGCCCAGCTAGTTTTTGTATTTTTAGTAGAGACAGGATTTTTGCCATGTTGCCCATAATGGTTTCGAACTCCTGACCTCGGGTCATCCGCCAGCCTCGGCCTCCCAAAGTGCTGCGATTAAAGGCGCGCCCGGTCCCTTTTCCCTTTTTTGTGTTTTCGTCCACTGAATTTATTCCCTGAAGGAGACAGTTTGATGCCTCGGAAATTACTGGACCTGTAACTCTGAAGTAAATCAAACCCACACAGAGTAGGTCAGGAGGATATTTAATTTGTGAAAGAACTGGATTCCTGATGAGGACTAGTGCTTTAGGCCTCGGTTTGATTTCAAGTGGAAAACAAAATGAAAAAGAGCAACAGTAAGACCAGCAGGCTCCAAACTGGGCAAAATAGAAGGCATCCATTTTTGGTTGTACCTTTGTCTATGGGTCGCGTTTTTTCAGACAGGAAAGGCGGGAGAAGAGGGCTCCAAGACAGGGTTTTCTGGCATATCTGGTGCACTACTGCCATCGCGAGGATGTCATTTAACGAATCCCTACGCCATTACAGCGTTCTTGTGAGGACTACCAGTTGCGGAAGGTCTGGTCTGTGGGGAGGTGGAATAGGCTTGGACTCCATGCTCAGCGTCCTTGCCTTCTCGTCTAAGGCCTTAAAAGAGACATGGACATTGGCGTTACCTTGTTGTAGAACCTGGTGAGTGAAAGTTCTAATAGCAAATCCTGTAAACTTCCCTTGGAATAACTGTGTTCCTTGTGAGCGATACTGATACTACCAGAGACCCCAAGACCCATAGCAAAATGCCAGCACGTGAAAGCCTGCTGACTCTTGCTCCAAAGGGCAGGTAGAAGAGACAGATGCCCACAAGAGCCTCTATGTGTGTTTGACTGGGTTCCTACTGTCCTGCCCACACCAGGAGGAACCAAGTTTCCGCTCCACGACTTCCTGTGCTAGTACCTCCTGGCAGCTGCTGGTTCACTCCAAACCCCGCACTCTCCACCAAGATACCGCTAATGTCCCTGTCTCTTTTCAGGCCTTAGAGAAGGCAAGAAGACAGCCTGGGAACCAAGCTCACAGATCAGCCTTTCCCCCATAGGGAAGTTTCCCGGGAAGGACGCCATGATGGCGTAGTCCGTCTTGAAACGATTTCCTCACGGTGGCAGTAGTGCTCCACATTTTCAATCAAGTCCTGTCTTGGAGCCCTTTTCTCCCGCCTTTTGTTTATCAAAAAACGCCACCCAGAGATAAAGGCGCCACTGAACATGGATTCCTGGAGATTTGTCCAGTTTGTTGCAACCTGGTCTTGTGACCCGTAGAGGGTCAGGATTGCAAGTTGTCCAGGTTCTTGGCATTTTGAACAAATAATTGCACAAAAATGAAACAACAAAAGAATGAAAGCAGGGGTTTACTCAAAACGAAAGTACACTCCACAGTGGGGGAGATGGCCTCAGCAGAGGCTCAAGGACCTGGATACAGAATCTTCTTTGGTTCAAATACCCTCTAGAAGTTTCCCATTGGCCACTTCATGCTCACCTCATGTAAGTGAAGTGGTCGCCCGAAATCAGTCTGATTGGTTGCAGAAAGGAGCCAACCAGAGGCTAAAGTGAAGTTACAAAGGTCACACTCCTGTGCAAACATCTGATTGGTTGCAAAAAGAAACCAATCAGAGGCTAGGGTGAAGTTACAATGTTATACTTCTATGCAAAGGAAAACTAGGCCAGAAATCAGTCTAATTTGTTGCCACAGCCAGTTTTCCATCTGTAGTGCAGAAAAGGTCAAAGGGAATAGTCTCTGGTCCTTCTGTTACTTAGGCATTGAAAGTTAGGGTTTTCCTTTCAATTTAGTTCTAGGAAGTCAGCATAAAACAGCCTTAGGTCTCCTGCCTCCAGACCCTATTCTCCTGCTTCATCTCCCCGCTGAGAGGTGATCCTCATAAATCTTTATGTGAGGCAGAGGGACTGAAGGGCTTTCTTCTGTAACTGCTTCATGCTGATCTGGGGCATAGTCCCTACCTGTTGGAAATCACAGAACTCTCACTATGCTTTATCTAGTGGAGGCAGGGTAGTTTCTTGATGGCCAGGGGTGGTGTCTTCACCTGGAACCGGCTGGTACCCTGGTTGCATGATCATTTGAAGCTTGATGGTCTCTAGGCGAGAGGAAATGAATTTTGCTACAATATTTAATGGGAACTTCAGGGGGTTGAT